GAAGACAAAACATGACAAAACTTTGGGTGGTTTTTTGAAAAAATCTTAAAATTGCATCTAAGTTTTCTTAAGTGCAGGAGTGTCTTACTTGTTGCAGTAGGAATTCGCCTTCAACATCAGGATCAACCTTTAATTCACTGCTTTTTTGGCCACTGATGATTTCTAGAACTACAACTCCATAACTATAGGTATCAACCTTTTCTGATAATTGGCCGTGAATTGCATACTCAGGTGCAGTGTATCCTCTAACAAATGCATATTATTCATGGCAATCATAAGGACAATGATGGAGACAAAAACATGTAAATATCGCAATACAACAAAATCTGAAATAGACTAATGCAACAAGGCTGGTCCATTGACTGATGCATAAATATTATTGATGTCTTATGTGAGACATTTAATATAGTAGAAGTTTAGAAGATTAAACAAATGTAGAATTTCAACTTACAATGTTCCTGCAAATTTTGTGCTAAGATGAGACTGGTCTGTTGGTAGAAGTCTTGCCAATCCAAAATCAGAAATTCTAGGCTGAAGATGATCATCTAAGAGGATGTTGTTACTTTTTATATCTCTATGTATGATACATGCATAAAATTCCTCATGTAAATAGGCCAAACCTTTTGCCGTGCCTAAAATTATTTCATATCGTTGTTTCCAGTTGAGAGAACCTTTGTTTTGACCTGTTTCCAAAGTTTACATTGAAGGGTAAGGAAAGAGGAAGAATGAAACATGAAATCGATTCTCAAAATGTTTCAATTGTAGACCAACACAAATGTTTTCCAAGTTTTTCAATAGAACTATAACATCTGGTTAAGTTTCTGTTAGAAACGTTGATGATATATTGCTGCAATGCTGCATAGAAAATATATCCACGTTATGAACAAACAATTGATGGTAAGAACTTAATGGTTGATAAGAGGTACCAAATAAGAATTTGTCAAGACTGTTGTTCTTCATGTATTCATAAACAAGGATTTTCTCTTGGCCGTTACTGCAACATCCCAAAAGCCGAACAAGATTTCGATGATGAACATTACTTATGAGCTTCACTTCACTTTCAAAATCTTCCTCTATCCTCTTATGGTTGCCTAAAGCTAATCTCTTGACAGCAACTATTTTCCATTCTTTAGAGTGCCCTGTCCATGGTGATTAAGAATTTCAATCATGAAAGTGATTCAGAAGTTCTGCTTTTGTCTTTGGAAATACAACCTTTTACAGATTCACTTAGAAACATATTTGTTCAAGACTAGATTGAAATATGAAAAAGAAAAAAAACGCACACAAGTTTTACCTTGTAAACATCACCAAATCCTCCTTCTCCTAATTTATTTTGTTCACTGAAATTTTTTGTTGCAATCTTCAAATCCTTATACCTGTAATTAACTGGGCCTTTCAGCTCCGTTGCTCCTAATATGTCACCTGTTAAGGTAAGCACAAGTTGAAAACCCTTAACAAATGAACAAATCAGTGTGGGTAATTTGAGCCATTCCAAGTAGTCTCACCTCTGGGAACCCTCTTTGTCTTTGGTCTCATTGATTGTTTAATCAAAAGAAACACTGCAAGAACTATCAAAAGAAAAGCTACACCTCCTACAACCCCACCAATAATAGCTCTCTTCTTGCTTGAACCTATAAGACAGGAAAAAAAAACAACCTCATTTTCCACCCCCAACACTTAAAAACTAGGATTAAATGGCAATTTTTCTCTTAAATTATAGGTTTAGGAGTGTCTAAAATTCTAAACTCATATTTGGTATAACATTCCTTTTTAACATTTAAAAATAGTGTAATATTGTCCCCTACTATTAACAAACGTTAACTTTAATCATTAGTTGATTAGATATTATAGAAAAAGAATTCAAAAATTACAAATAGAACTAAAAATTATAAATTTTTATATAGTATTTATTTGTAATTTTCTGGGTCCTTTTGAGATCATTTTCTATAATTTTTTAATCAACTAACGATCAAAGTTAATTTTTGTTAATGGTAAAGGTGAAATTGCACCATTTTTAAATATTAAAGAGGAATATTGCACCAAAAATAAGTTTAGGGTTTTAGATGCTCCTGGACCTATAGGTTAAGGGTAAATGTTTCCTTTAACCTTAAAAATCATAAAACAAAAGGCAGATATTGAATCCTACAGATGAACTGAACCTTGTGTCAAGAAGGGTGTGAAATCACCAATGGTCTGGTTATCAGGAAAGAAGGAAGAGGTGGAGTATCTCATGAAGCAGCCAGCATCAAAAGCCCTACCCTCCAATGTGGGAAGGCACATCTGCAGATTGTTGTTTCCAACCTTCAAGCAATCAAGGCAGCCACTCTCTGTGACAGAATCAACACATTGAGCAACGGCATAAATAGTAGGACCATTGTTAGGTACTTGAGTCTTTGTGGCTGCAAAGAAACCAGGAATTCTGGGTGTTGCTGTTTGGAGATTCATTAGCACTTTTTCAACTGTTGAGTCAAATGTTGTCTTATCTCCTGATGTTTGCTTCCCACAAGCCATGCCATTCCCAGGTTGTGTTGTCTGATCATAGAAACTGCTGCTCTCATACCTAATGAATCATATCAGTGTATTCTACTTCAAATTTTCTCACATAGCAATCATACAGACCAATGCAATTAGTTAATGTTCCTAAAACTGGTCAATATTCTCAGTATACTCTCCATTCAATACAATTGACTCTTATTAATGAAGAAATAGACCAACTATATGAGGGTCAAGTAATTTTATTTGTTTATTTGTTAGGAGCATTTTCAGGATATACACAATAATTACTCTTAACATTTTGCAAAATGCTTTATAAAATGAAACATAAAACCTTAAAAAATATTCATAAAAAGAGGGAGTATGATTTGCAATAAGTATGCATCCACTTCCAGATCAGATGAGTAATCCTCCATGTTTTTCTTGGAATAAATCTAAGGTATGAATGAAGCTATTGAAATTGCAGATAATCAGTTGTAAATTTTAGTTAGATCACTTGGAAAGCCAGACAAATCATCGGGGAAAAGAAATGTCTCTCAGTAGTTGTTTTATCCCATCGGCTTTTCCAGATAATTTACTTGGAATTCACATCTAATTACACACAACTTCAATTGTCTAGTTATGGAAAAAGAAGAAAAATTTAAATTAATTCAAGTTTGAAACGAGACTATTGAAATCGAATATAATCAGTCGTGAATTTTAAATAAGGTAAATCACTTGAAAGTGAGATTGCTCTCAGTGGTCCGTCAATGAAATTTCAACAATTGAAGGTTCATAATTAAAATTAACTAACTTAAATAGGATCCTTAATTGTCATTTTCTTTAAGTCTGTAGGTAGAAAACCTCATTTTCACATAAAAAATCCCAAAAGGGTTTCTTAATTTCTTTTAATAAAATATTGTTTATATATGAACGAAATTAATTTTTTCACAAACTATTATAAAATGATAAGCCCACACTAGTTATGGAATTCACTATGTTAAATTGTGTTGTGTTATAAGCCAATTCAATTATGACTCATGTAGCTTTAATTTTATCAAGCACCCAGAAGAGAAATTTACTTCAAACGAAGCATATATATGCATCCATACAAGCATAGTTCCATGTTCCTTCCATTAAAAAATTAAAAATGTAAGATAATTATTTCAAATTAATTATATTTTTTATATTACTCTTATTTAATATGGGTTAACCTTAAAATAAATATAAAGTGATTTATTCAATAAGAATACTTCTGAAAAAAAAAAGATAATGATTACATATTAAAAATTAAAAATATTTTTCAACATTCAACCTTTTAAAAAAATACCTTAAATTTTTAATGGAGAGAGTATATGAATATGTATACATGTACGTGTGCGTGTATAGTATAAATTGAAAAGAATATAAACAAAGACAGGGAAAGATAGTGGAGTAGCATGACGGATAATTAAACATTTATTAATAAACTGAATTATGCAGCTTATTCAAAGAATGGAATCATGGATTAATTATTCTACTGTTTTGTGAGGGATGCTCTAAACAATCATGCTCGTACCATTTTGCTTCTTCCAAAAATGCACAGGCAATACTCTATCATTTAATTATGTTCAATGTTCAAAAAAACAAAGAAGTTATATTCAATGTATATAAATAGTTTATTTAAATTATGATCCTTAGAAATTTTTTAAGATTATTTTACAAAGATTATAAAAAAAAAAAAGAAAGATCATTTCGCAAAAAGATTAAGATAACTGAGATAGCTTGGGGACCCTGTTCATCCAATCATTCATCCCCATTGGGACACCGATAAAAAAAACATAAGATAACCCAAAAGAAGTTTATATATATAAACTAATTTTTGTGTTCATACTTCTAAAACATTATAAATTTTAGATAAAAAATTAACTATAGAGTTCCGTTTTGTAGCCTTGTAATTCTTGAATTCCAAGTAATGATTAGCCGAACCAAAATTGCTTTAAAAAATATTATAAAAAGAAAAATTACCATTGGCTTTGATTTAATTTTTATATACAAAATTAAATTTAGTAAATCAATCAAGGAAAAAATATATCAAGAAAAATAAAATAAAATTTGTTATATATAAAATACATAATCCCCCATTTGTTAACTAACAATCCGCTAGTGCTAGATAAGTGATTCCCCACGAATTGTTGATAGATGCATCAAATATTGTTTTGTGTTTAATTTGGCTCAAACTAATGAGATTGTGAGTTTTGTGGTAACTTTATTATTGAACAATATAA